AAAAAAAAACATAGAAAATGCAAAGTAAATAGTAGACCAAAATTGAATGATATATGTATAAGCCCTTATCATACGTTTTAGAACATATTTGTTAGAAAACAATTTCGGTACCGCAAAATAACGGTCATAAGAATAAAATAAGCAGAATTGAAAATTATAGCGAGGGATCTGATGCAATTAGCGCTCGTTGAAAGGATAAGATAGTATAGACGTGCACCTTGTTAACTAGTCAAAAAGGAATACTGTGGCGATATGGCAAAAATATCTTCTCAAATATCACTCAAAAACTGCGTTCTTACCTGAATGCCCATTCCACGAGAGCTATATGCTAATGCCGCGGAAGCGACAGGAAAGGTAGCTGGAGCAGAAGCAGGGTTCCTAAACCGTTGCGTACGAGGCGAGCTTGCCCTCATAGGACGTTCAGCTACCTGAAAAAGTCCTCAAAATAAGTGCTATCAATTCTAAGTATACAATACAAGACCTTAGGAAAGATGGATTCAAAAGTCAAGAATTACGTTTAGATCTCACCGAATCACCTAAACCGTTGCGTTCGAGCTCGCATCGAACGCAATGGTTTAGGTGATTCGGTGATTAAAAACCCAATCTGATGACACTGAGGTCTCTCGGTGAGCCCTTGAAAAGAATTCATGACACTTTTTTTACTTCATATGTCTTCTTCAGTGGCTGGCTGGGATAGTCTATATGATTCCAAAATTTGAGCAATACCTACTTCAACTTCTTCCGAGCTGAGCCGCGAAGCGAAGAACTGCTCGTAAATAACTGAACTCAACATCATCCGTGCTGGCAAATCCGATAATGCATTGATATACTGAATAACAGCTGCAGGTGAACTATCCATTGAGAAATATGGCAGTATCCGTAATGCGGAAGACCCTGTAAGCAGACATATTCGGAAAAGAAGCATTGGATGAGCTTCAAACAATGATTTTAAGTAAATAGCGAGTTAAGCCGACCTAGGGCTGGTGTTGGAGTGGCATTGGAATCAGTGGCAGTAGGAGATGGAGTACGTGAGGAGCATGTCGATTCAGGTTGTTCAGTTTCAGCCTCCTGAGCATGTTTGAGCTCTCGCCGCTCCTCACCAAACATATCCAGCAGACGATGATGTAGTGTATTGATATCATTTCGAGTGCGTCCAACAAATGTACG